ATCTCGGGTAACAGACTCAGACGCGGACTAAATACAGCAGACAAGCCAAACTAACAAGGAACAGCTGGGCACGATCGGGAAAGCACACGTGGATAATGAGGGGGCGTGGCACACATCAGGAGCGGACGGAGCAGGGTGTGACAATATATATATATAGATAAAATCTCATATTGAAACACTGAAAATTTATATATATATTGTTAATAGAAAATAACCACCCAGGGGGGAAAAAAAAAAAAAACACATATGGAAATTGTACCACAGGTCCTCTGTGACTGCACCTATGGTACCCACAGACCACAAATATATGCAATGGTCATCCTGTACCTGAAATGAAGTGACCGCTGCTGCATCCTGCCACTGGCTCCGACGAGGAGTTTCCCCCTTCAATGCCCTGAGACACAGGGCGATGGGCATTCTGCTGGAGAGCCAGCTCTTCAGCGGGGTTTAGGTCTGGACCGAGCGGACCTCCACCCGTTTTTTTTTTGTCCGCCTTCTTTTTTGTTCGCTTTGACAGGATTTTTTATTTTTATTTTTTTAAACACGTTAATATACATAGATGGATACACACAGCTATCTAATTATTAGAGTGTGTGTATATCATTATGCACACACACACTTTATGAGATGTCATATTTACCAGTTTGAAGTATATTTTTGTACTTCACTTTAACTTGTTCCCCTGTCCTGATCGTGCTTATGTTTGATCTGGAATTATAACGATTAAATGATGATTCACGTAAGACATAATTGGACCAGTAACGCTGCATTCAAGGAATATGATAATTACCAGTAATACAATAATTGCAAACTACTCAAGCATTTAATTTGTCGGCCACTTTTTTGCCAGCCGTCTTTTCTGGTTTGTGCCGCTTTTGCAGTGTTTCCTTTGGTGCTAATTAAGTTTTTGAACTCCTCATATCACTCCAGTATAAGGTCCTGCTCGCTTTGGGAGAAGAATTGTGCCCTTTCTTTCGCCATGTTGCAGGAGCCAATAAGAGACTTGCCGATCATGTTTTCTAGACTCGATGTACAGTATATAGGCTTTTCGAGTAGCGCAATCATCTCGGATGATTGGATCCAGCTAAGCTAATCTACTCGTGAAGTGCGTTTCAGGAACCGAATTAACTGGATGATTTTCACCGGCATTAATTGATCCAAGATGAAGCTTCTGATCTTGGATGATTTAAGCGAAGTACGGAGAATACCCCCCTGATGTCGTGTCCAATGTTTTACTTTTTTCCATCCAGCTTTTATTAAGCACAGTTTGGTACCTCATGTCATGGCATATGTAAGGTGTATTACGTATTACAGTTCTGATATATACGATTATTAATAACAGAATTGCAATTCTAGTTTATGTATATGGCCTTTCTATATCGCGGATTTTCATCTATCGCTGATGGGTCTGGATCCCCAGCCTATCGCGGAAGTTACGTTCCAGACCCATCAGCGATAGGTGAAAATCCGCGATATACATATACATAAACTTTTTTATAGTTTAAGCCTTAAAATACCACTCCTACATGCTTTAAACACATGTGAACTTATTAAAACGCACTTTGTAAACACATATGATATGTGGATGTTGGGCTAAGGATATGAGTGACATAAAATATGAAAATTTCTGGTATCATTCGAATGTTTCAAGTAATGCATCGTGTTGGTCTTAAATGGTCTTAAAAAGGTCTTAAATTTAACTTACTGTAAACTGCAAGAACCCTGTATTATTTTGTGGACCGAATCCTTGCTAGCTATAGCTTAAGTAGTGGCAATGATGTTAAGTTTAATTGACGATTCGTATATTTGTCAGGTTATGGACAAAGTAAAGGCCTATTAGGATCTTAAAAAAGACTTCGAAAACGGTAACGACTGTTTATTCTGCCTAATGTTGGCGCATTTGTGCTATTGACGTAAACTGCCTCATAACGCTAACAAGATATTCTGGGCTAATTTAAATTTGATAATTAAGCATCCCTATCTAATTGACTGTACAGATTACCACTTGAGTAAGAGTGGCAATCTTCGTGTTTACAGTTGCAAATGCTTTTTCAGAAAAGTCGAGCTGCCATGCTATAATAAACAGATTTCACGAACGTTAATGTGTGTGTGTTTAGAATATCAAAGGTAAGACTGATACTAGATAAGACTGGCTCCTATGGAATGGAAGCCAAGAACTCTAAAAAAGGCTTGACGGTACCAGAAAATAATACTGGAAGAAACTCCACCTCGCATCATTCTGCAAGGCCACGAAACCTATGAGGAATTGGTGACCATAGGCAAAAAACGTTTCTGGCCAGAGGATGTTGAGGGGAGCGATTTTACCCTTTGTCATTCTGATGGATCTAGGTGGAGTAAGGAGGACTTCCACAAAGAATACAGGACTGTGTCCAACATTACACATCCATGGAAAAGAACACTATGTTGGAAGAAGAGAATTGGGTAAATAGCAGTAGGGTGCATAGCTATAGGTGCAAAGAGATCTGTGGAAAGAGGTGAAGAGCTATCTGAAGTTCCTGCAAACACTAGAGATTTGATCGTTTTCCCTGAATCATCCAGTACACCTCCCAGTGTACCATCATGTAAGCAATTTTTCTTGTGAATCTCCCATTAGAAAATATCAAATAATATTAAAAAAAAATATATGTATAAGTAAATAATGATAATAATAAAATAAATAAAATAATCAAAGAAACAATAAAGGTCTTCATACTTTAGAAGTGGGGAGTCATGCTCCTGGAGATGGTTTTTCATGGTTAAGATATGACTGGTCTATGATGACTTGAATTATTGAAACATTTAACAACAGCTGATAATTTGTGTTTCTCTCCCCAAGTGTATCCTCCACGTGTTCCATATGTGGACAAGGCTTTAATTACATACAATGAAGAAAACCTACTTGGAGAAGGAACATTATTTCCATGGAACTCCTGCAGCAGTTAAGAGAATTGTGTGTGGCCTAGAAGGAACGGAGGACCATGACATCCATCATGAGATAAATGTGTCCCTGTAAGAACTTAGTGACATTTACATTGCTGTTTTGTTATTTCATTGTGCAAAAATAATTTTTACTATTTATTAAAGTTGTAAAATAATTTGACAGTACACTGTGCTCTTTGTTTGCTTTTTTATTAGGAGACTGTCTCACCCCAACATTGTCAGACTCATGGCAATTGTTTGCTGTTTTGTAAATTATCAGTAGGTTAATACATGTTGATTAAAAAGTTTAACACTGGTTGTATAAAAGATTCACCCTAAAAAACATCTAGTCATTTGATGATTGCATAAATCATAATATTCAAAATGGCTGAAAATGACATACAATCTGCATGACAATCTGTACAAATACTGTTACTGAGTAACTGTAATTAATGAATGAATTGTGAGGTAAGACTACATACAAGCACTTGTAGTAAAGTATGCTGTTCATTTGTGGGCTGGATCCCTGTGAGCTGTATGGGATGCACCCTCTTAGGATAATTCCTGCAACCATTGGCAAGTATGGGTGCTAAAGGCTCTATTAAGTATAATATTTTTATGAATTATGTGCTTTGTCTTTTGCAAGTAGAGAGTTTTGACCAATGATATAATCTGAGATTTTGGACAAGCTGGAGAGCTTTCCATTTTAATACCTTACAGGTTCACCACCCATCCAAGGAGGCAGTCCTGACAGACTGGGGACTGGCAAACATTAGAGACACTGTGATGCTTCGTCAAGGCAGTAGGTTCACTACCCAGGCTGTAGGGCCAACTGGTGGCACATATCTTTACATGGCTCCAGAATGCATTTTAATGTTTGAGGGGCATCTGTCCAGACAGATATGTGGTCCCTGGCAGTCCCATGGGTGATCAAGAAACAACGAGAGCTGGCTACACTAATGGCTACCAAAGCACCACCACATGCACTTGCACATCTCAGTGACAGGCATAGTTTTCTTGGTGGCTTGGTGAACTATGACCCCTCGTCAAGGCCTACTGCATCTTAGGTTAAGTTCCTCAAGTCAGAACTTGATCTTGCTAGCCGATATGGCTATAAGTGGTAATTTCTCAACTATTTGCTTTTCAAGAATATGTTACTCCAGTGTTAATGTTAAATGTTTCTGCTTTAGATTAAAAGGTATTGTGCACTAAGCACTTATGTTATAGGTTATCAAACCTGAAACATTTTGAATAGCCTTTGAACCTTAGAAAATTTTGGTTGTTTTTTCTCAGCTACATTCACTTTTAAGTCAGGCAGTAAAAATATGTAAGTTATGACATGAAAAAAAAAGTTTTTAAAATCTCTGAAAACTGAAAATAGTGAACTTAAAATATTGCCAAACATTTATATGAGTTGCTTTCATATTTTTTATTTGTCACTAGAACCATTTATTGACAACCCTCTATCCTTTCCCTTACTGAAATCTGTATAGTTATAGTTTTGTGTAGTTATGTGTGATAATGTTACTCTCTGATACAAACTGTTTTGTTAAACACCAGGCAGAGACAATGTAGACTTGTTGAACATCCAAACTAGGCAAAGCTAACAGAAAGCAGAGTAAGGGCACAGGCAGAAGTCAGTTACAGCAGGCAAATAAATCAAGGTTACAGTCCAGGGTAAAAGACAAAGTCCTCACCTATAGTCCTATTTCCACAGCGCTCAGTGTCCCAGAGGCAGATCGTCACTCTGAACCACTACACATGTGCAGCAAGTCAGTTTTTGAGGGAAACATTTCTGTAATAATTAGATAGTGCTGTGTTGACAACCCTCCATCCTTTCCCTTATCAGAAATTTGTATATGTTATTTGCAAATGTAGAGGGTGTCGAAATTGTATTTATGTTCATGGCAGAGGTGACTTCTTGGATCAACATAAGGTATGCAGCAAGACAACCATCTGTTGTGCATGGAAAATGACTTTTCTAAAATGGCTTGGCACATGTCTCTGAACTCCTGGTTTGCCACCAGTGATGGTTCTTCTTTCTCGCTGATGAGTTCTTCAGCATAGTCTAAGAGGTCTGTGTCGACTGGGTGCAGCAAATCAGTGTATCCTGCAGTTGGGAGAGACAAAAAAAGAACATTTTACCCACAGAATGATAAAAGGAATCCAATAATCACAAAAATGTTCCAGAACATGAATATAAAGCAATATCTAATGACCTATAGTGTTTTAAGGTACAATTCTAAAAATGTAGTTATGTTTTAGGGTGGTTTACAGATTTAGCAGCATGAACTTAACCATAGGCTTGTCAAAATTTGAATAAAAAAACTGATATTTAGAAAAATATGACCATTTCCTGTAAGGTGCCAATTTAAAGCAATGGTGTTGTAATGTTAGTGGAAAATAACATTTTCTCATATTCCATTATAAGTAGGCAAAATAAGGTAATCAACCTGTGTTGCAAATGACATACCAGGAGGTGGTGAGGTGTACAGAAGGTCTGGTTTCCCAAATGGACCTGGGGCATTGCGCTGTTTGCGGATGTCATG